ATAGGTAGAGCATTGGTCTGTAATACCATCTGTCAGTTACTCTCACTGATCCCTACTGTTGGTGTGTCCCTGGGCAAGACATTAAGCCCCACCCTGCCTGAATGCCCCCCACCCACACTGAAAGACCAGGAGATGAACATGGATGACTGGATGGTGTTTAACAAAGCCACAGTAGCCCTTCAATGCAGAAGGCTTATAATAATTATGAAAATCATTTGAGGGGGCACTAAAATGGGGCCTGTCTGCTCTGCATGGAACGTAAACAATTCAATAAACAACACATATTGGCTGATTTTAACATTGAATAGTGCAGTTTAGATTTTTTGTAAACGTCATTCCCGACATAGCAGCAGGAAGTAAATAACAGTGGGAAGCCAGACAAAAACAATATAGACTTGATGCTAGTACATAAGAAAACTTAAATATCTCGGAAAAAATAATTTGGCTAATCCATTACTTGTACTGTTATTATTATTATTCATCCATCCATCCATCCATTTTCTTCCCCTTAATCCATTTCTGGGTCGGGGGGGGTGGCAGTCAGAGCTGCACCCAGTACACTTAGCACCAGCCCCTCACTGATCCTCCTGCAGGTGGTGAGTCCACAGGAGCTGAGATCTTTCAGTTGGGGCTTTTGGGCAAAGTAGGGTTAAGTCTTGCCCAAGGACACAACGACAGCAGTCATCAGTGGGAGTCGTGAAGTAGGTCTTACGGTGGGCTCGAACCCACGACCTTCAGGCCCAAAGGCCAATGCTCTACCAACTGAGCTACTGTCGCCCTATTATTATTATTATTATTATTATTATTATTATTATTATTATTATTATTATTATTATTATTATTATTATTATTATTATTATTATTATTATTATTATTATTATTATTATCATAGACAAAATGGGGTAACTATGGCAGGTGATACATCATTTTAAAGCAAATTATTCCAAGAAAACCACCAAAGGCTCGGAGAAGGTTAAACTCCTCAGAGTGTCAGTCAAGCTGCATAGGGAGTCAGTTTGCTGGGAGAAGTATGGTAACTTGAGCACTATCCTCTCCTCCTTCCTACTTTATCTGTTTAGCATTTTTAGGATTCTGACTGTAGTTTGTTCATTGCTATTCACCCGTTGTCCCATTGTCTGTTTCATGGTACGATGACGGGATCCCTGAGCCTGGCCTCTTCCATCTACACCTGCGGACTGCCCCGCCCGACCCGCCTGGGAGTGCTTCAGTCCTGCACCGGACCTGTCCACGTTCAGCGTCCACTGGTCCACGTTCTGTAGCTAGCTTAGGTCCTAGATCATTAGCCTGTCCGTCCGGAGGAGCGGATCCCTTTCTCATATGGGTCTCCCTCCCTGTGGGTTTCCCTAGTTCTCCTCCAAGGTTTCTCACTTTTTCCCACTGGGTTTTTTAAGAGTTTTTCCTTGTCGATGCAGGAGGGTCTTGTTGGACAGTTAGTGTCCAACAGAAAGGATTGGTGATGATCAGGACACTTTAGCATTCTACAACATGTATGGACATTTTCTTCTGTGTGTGCTTTATATTCTTCATGTGTTTTAACTGTTGATTCTCTGACCTGTGTTGGTGATTTCAATGGTTTTGTTAAGTCCTCTGAGATGACTTCTGTTGTGACCTAGGGCTATACAAGAATAAATTGTATTGTATTGTATTGTATTGTAAAGGCATTTTCGATTCTAAGCATTGAAAACGATTGGTGATATTAAAAAACTAACTTAACTAATACACAAAATATACAATGGAGTCCTTACTAAAACAGTGAAGCCTAAAAACAGTTGCTGCCATGGTGTGGACTTTTAGACCATTTGACCATTTATTTTGACCACATTGTTTCATTTTGATGCATTATTTCTTCTGTCTCCTCTTGCAGTCGGCTCATTGTGTTTTTGCTCCTGATTCTTTGTGGGTTGAGTTTGGAGTTCTGTTATCCTGGATTATGTATTTTTCAGTTTTGTTTGATAAAGCCTGTGTTTTTGGCAGTCCTGCTTTTGAGTTCTTCCGTCTGTTCTGCATTTGTGACAATTGCGGCCCCTAACCAAAGTGACGCTGGGGTACGTGAAACAATTCCCCTTCTTTTATAGCCCTGTCTATGCTATAGTGAGGGGGTGCACAGGCCAAAAAGGTTGGGAGCCACTGCACTACAGGATCTGACCCATATGAAGCTGTGGTAATTTGCAAACATAATTAACAGATAATGAACGATTCCAGTGTCGGCTTGATTTCTCTCTCATGTTTACTGATCAGTTAAACCTTTTCTCGTTCATATTGTACTTTGAGGTCCAAGTCTCATTCAGACAAAGACAATTTGATGCATAAATTAGTGTCCAATTACATCAATAATGAATTAGTTTCAATTATTAAATTAACTTGTTACAGCCCTTGTGGGTGGTAGGCAAAAAAATGATTTGTCACATGCCATCTTCAGAAAGTACTGGTCATCACTGCTTAAAGCTGGGCCTCTGTCACATCTTTAGATCAGCTTTTCCAGACAGAAAAGTGATAAAGAGAGGAGCATCCTCACACAGCCAATCAGCTCTCAGCCCAGGGCTATTTCTTAACATTTTGAATAAAGTGTCGGATTTTATTGATAGAGTTTTGTAAAGTTAAGCAACCTTTCTGATGGGACAAACAAAAAGTATTTATGAAACAAAAAAGTTAGGTGCCTCAGCATTCAGAAGGCAAGCTATATACCTAAATAGATACTTGTCTTGTGAAGATTAGATATCCCAGAAGGTTGATTCTTTGACCATATATTAGGATTGAACTGACCACCATAGTGTTTGCCGACTGCAGAAGAAGCCAATTTGACCATAAACTAGCTGGTGCCTATTTCCCTATAAGGGCATTCGTGCAGACAGGGTTAGCTCCGTGCCCTTACAGGGGCAGTCGTGTTGCTAATATGGTTACTAAGGCTCAGATTTGGATTTACAAAGACAATATCAAAAGATAAACACCAGGTGCAGTGACAGATTTCTTTCATTTATCCCAAAATGTTGAGTATGACACAAACGATTACCGATCTAGAGGAGTTTACATTTCAATGTAAGTCAACAGAAGTCAGAGCACGATGGAGTAAAACTTTGTCCATGAGCACTTCCTTTCGGGCTTCATTGAGCTATATACAGTTCATGGGTTTACGTCACTGCCCTTGACTGTGAAATAGAAGACACACAACAAAATGAGTTAATGTTGTGATTTGACAATAAAAATGGCTTTCATTTAAAACATTTACCATCCTCTTCATAAGCTATAGAAAAGATTTAGGTTTATATGTTAGTCATTATAAACTGGCACAACTTCAGACAGAGTGGGAAATGCACTTATAAGTTATGTTTCTAAACACAAGTCAAGTTAAAACGTAGTATATGCAGCGTGCAGTGTAAATTCCACCCAGGGCGAGTTCAAGACAAAATAAATATTTCTTCCCATATGCATATTATCTGCTCTCCGGAAACATGTAGATAATGTGGAAAAAGTTTAAAATAGTTCACTCTTTCAGGGCCTGCTGAACAGAGGTAGGAAAAGTACCATCCTTACACTGAAAAGTAGTTACTAAAAACAACTATAGGAAAAGTCTTGACATCACTCACTATACTACTAAAATTATAACAAGCTGGTCTGTGTAACTAAAAAGTATTTGCACTTGTATAATTTACTGACAGCGCTTATTTGAGACTTTATAAGCTATAGCATTGAATCATTTAAAGCTGGGGTACCTAACTTTCAAATCACATAATATATAAGTATATAATAAAATCCAAAACGAGTCCCTTGTTCTTAAAACACACATCACCTTTTTTCACATGCATTTATTTCTGGCCTGTCTCATCTTTAGATCAGATTTTTCAGAAGAGTGGGTAAAAAGAGATAAGAGGACTCAGCCAATCAGCTCTCAGTCCAAAATGTGACTCACAGGATGACCCTGGACAAATTGGTGCATAGAGACAGAAGTGCTGTTTTGATGTACACTCTCTCAGGGTGGTATAAATCCAATTTGTCAACATATTCATACAATTGTCGTGAAATTAAACATGACAATTCTCAAAGCAGTAATGCATAAAAAGTAAACATGGCAGGACGGTGGCTGTGTGGTTAGCACTCTCGCTTCTCAGCAAGAAGGTGCTGAGTCCGGTTCCACTTCCAGACAGGATCTTTCTGAGTGGAGTTTTCATGTTCTTCATGTGTCCCCCATAGGTTTCCTCTGGGTGCTTTGGTTAACCATAAATATGAACAATAGCTTCCCTCTCTCTGGGGCCCAAGACTCCCCTGATAAAGAGATTCTGAAATCTCAGTGGGACTTTCCTGATTTAATAAAAGTTCAGTAAATATATTTATTATTATTCTCTATAAATTAAAAAAAAACAAAAAAAAACAAGTGTTTGGTATAGTTTACACCTGCTAATTTTCAAGATTGTTATTTAGTTTACCTTGAGTGAAAACACGATATTAGTGAATTTGATATTTGTGAGTGGAAAAAGCAGGTCAGTCAAAAAAGTGCAGTTTTAAGTGTAATTTGAGCCCTCTCCACTAGTTGGTGGTCTTCTTGCTCGCCTATGCCCAGAGCATGTTTAGAACACCATGGTGTTGTTTGATTTGTTCACAACATTTTACTTTTGAAAGATTTTTTGTGTTGGGACAAACAGAATACATTATTTATGGAAGACAAAAGTGAAGTGCACCAGCTGTACAGTATTCAGTAAACGCTGCTGAATCTGCAAAATATCCTTGCATGGCTTTTTCTCACCACATCAGACATGTCATTAAACTGTAATTATATGGACATTTTTGTCAGAATGACACAATTCATTATGCTCTCTAAAAGCCAATCATTGCATGCAGGAGAACAACAAAAAGTATTTTTTGTTTTTTGTTTTATTGGTGGAACATATTTGTGTCCACTCTCCTCCTGATAGAGCCCCATTTAATCATGTTGTTCTGTTTCCTAATTAGCAGAAATGCAAAGTGTCTTTGTCACCTGTGGACAGCCAAGAGGGCTAATTTGGGCTTTTCACTAATTGCCACGGTAACGAGCCTCCTGCGCCTCCGCTGGGGGTGGGTGGACGGCATGGCAAGAGAGGACGAGGAGGAAGAGGAGGATGGATGGATCATGAGAGGAAGAAGACACAGCTCCTCTCACACGCGGCCGAGGTGTGAAAGAACGCGGCGGGCCAACTGCACGCAGCCTGGAGGAGTCCAACGGCAGGGTGCGGGGGACAGGCTGCGCTGTGAAAAAGCCCCAACACCCAAGCGAGGAAGAGGAGGAGGCACACTGGACACCGCGCCGGACAACTTCCATGCAGTGACGGGATAATTACTGGACACTTCCTGACACCTGTTATCCCCCTATGGTTTATATTGGTTTTGTCTCGCCGCGTCTTTTGTTGTTCTTTTAATAGAGGGAGTCTTGGCGGGCAATTAGCGGCCGGACATGTATGAAGCATGGGGCAGGCTGAAGAGTGGAGGGTGGAACGATAACTCGAATGCTTTACTGTGTTGTGAACGAAAGGAACTTCATATGTTTCATGATTGAATTTATACACGCAAGTCAAAGAGCTTTTCTTAACAACAAGGAAAACATTAAATAACACCCTGTGGGATTTAAAAAAAAACATCATTGAAGATGTCTAACAACACAGCCAAAAATTCCCCGGTTTTATAGTGCTTTCCAGGACACTCTTCAAGACACTTCATATGGCATTATCATTCACTCCGCTGCGTACCGTACGGTACGCGATGGTTATGAACTACTACTTTAGCCACAGCTGTCCTGGGGCAGGCTGACAGAAGAGAGGCAACCAGTATGTGCCATTGGCCTCTCTGACCACCACCAGTCATTCACACACACACAGACTTAGGCAAAGTGTCTTGCCCAAGAACACAACAGACAGTTTGGCTCCTGCCCCAATATGGCACCTGGTGTTCCCAGAGGTCCCCCATCACAGTTCTAAGCAGGCCCTGTCCTGGTTCGGTCCAAAGGGATAAAGCTTTTGTGTGCAAGTGTTGCCACAACCCTAGTTCTCTGAGTTGTAAACAATCTGCAGAAGAAAAAAAACTGCACTGGGAGAGAAAACCCCCTCAAAATGCCTGCATGTCACCCCGGTGTGCTCTAGCATGTTGTCATGGAAACATATGCTCCTATTATAATGAGTGTTCTTAAATCCTGCATAGTTCCCCTTTAAAATCATATAAACATTCACATCTTAAACAGATACAAAAATAAGCAATCACTATAGGCTTACATTTTCAGGAAAACTGTTCCAGGTTTTGATCATGATCATTAAGCAGGTCTGGAGCTATAGTAAAGCGTATATCTGGCTGGTTTTTAAAAAATGACACAACCACAATTTCGTAATTAGGTTAACTGAAAGTTGTATCGTATTTTTCAGGTTTTAAAATTTGTAAAATATAATCATTCCTGTTTAATATATAATTTGAATGTAGTTTTCATTTTATTTCTAAAATGTTTTCTGAATCTAATTGATTGTACTTCTGGATTTGCCTATTTCGTGAGTGTGTGTGTGTGTATTGGACAGGCTCCTATACTCTTTGTATGTATGTTAATATTTACTGTCTATGATTGTAACGTCCCCTCGAGTGATTTCAATGTTTATTTTCTTGTTTTGAAAGCACTTCCAGTTGCCCTGTGTATAAATTGCGCTACACAAACAAACTTGCCTTGCCTATTACATACATATGCATACGCGTCTATTTTCACCTCGCCATTTGCATACGCTATAAAACGCGTGCGTTGTGGAAGTCCACTTTCCTCAGACAAATACATCAGGCGCACCGAATGTAATTTGACTCCATCAGTACGGTCCCCGCGCTGAATTACGCTTTTCCTTTCTTTTTTTTTTTCAAATCCATTTTCTGTTCAGCAATACACCCTGAAAGCTGGGGGGCACCTTGTCCATGCGCCGCTATCGGGGGCGAGCTCCCTGTGTGTGCGCGCGCGTGTGTGTGTACGCGTGTATGTGTGTGCATGCGCGGTGTAAGTATGTGTGTAAGTGCGTGTGCGCGCCCGCGTGCGTGTGCATGTGTGTGTACGTGTGTGCGCGCGCGTGTGTGTGTGTGCTCTGCTGTTGCTGCCCTTTGATCTCTGCATTAGTGTTAGTTAGGGGCTCCGAGACACACTTGCACCAGGAGCAGCCATAGTCAAGACACGGCAACAACAACAGCGCGGCACCTCCTCCGCGCTCCGTGCCCATTCCCCACAATACACTTTAAACTGCGAGCAAAGCCAGGTGCACGACCGAGTCCCTGCCATCACTGCCGTCTCCGGTCTCAATGGGAAAAACCTTTTTTCTTCTTATCCCTAAACAAGGACGAGAATGTGATTAAAAACGGGGGAAAATGCCAAGGAGGAAGCAGGAGCAACCCAAGCGCCTGCCTTCACGTAAGTGCATTCTGTCGATTTGTGCATTTTGACCGCTCTCTCCGTGTCTTTTGCGCAGTAGTTTCGGGTTAAAGAGGTGAAACAGACAAAAGACTCCGCGTATAGGTTATTTCTCCCGTTTTAGGTCCGAGCGAGGCAGCCATGTTGTTGGCGATGGGTATAAGGTTAGCGCGGCGCGGAGTGGATAAATCATACGTGGCTTTATTAAGAGTATGGTTCCTCTATGGCTGTGGGCAGTGGGCATATGTGTCCGGACATGTGTGGAGGGAACCACGGCGGGGACGGGCTCGGGAATGCGCTTGCCGTTTGCTCGGTGGCTTTCTGGAGGAGAAAGGGGAGGTTCTGGCCGCAATAAAATGAAGGGTCAGTCGGATCAGACGAGGCAGAGTCTGGCTACCCCTGTGTAGTATATACCCCAGCCAGCGTTAGCACTAGCGCTATGTAGCTAGACGCGTTGCCTATAAACTTCATTTCATCTGCTTGTTTATTTTACGTGCAACTTCTGTCTGGTAGTTTGTGCGATCGCGGAAATACATGTTTACCGTCGACTTTTAAAAGTGTAGCCCCCCCAGAAAGCCTGCGTGTTGTCTCCCCCCCTGCTCCCGTCTGCATGCAGGCTGTGTCAGAAGAGCCATGCACGGTCACCTGAAGTTCAGGGTTTTTCCCCCTTCCCCTTTTGCAGCCATTCAATGCAGACAGACTCCGATCGATAGCCTCACACAGAAGGAAAACGCACTGATGCATGCTCCTAAATACATTTCTCATGCAATCTTTGCGTGTATTTACAGCGTAGTGTGTTTAAACCGTTTAGACGAGTTTACTTTTGCTACATTTGACCCTCTCTATCTTCTTTCAGCCTCTATCAGTCCTTATAAATGGACCAGAGCAGTTGCAATCCCTTACCACTAGAGGATACCTTCTTTTGGGGATGCATGGGTAATGACATGTGATTACTAAAGGAATTATCTGAGTGACATTTTTTTGCTCTTGATGTATTTTTTTCCCCTGCACAAACAACACCGGCGTATAAGCACCCCACTCCATTAGTCATATTGGTATGCAAATGCTCGGAATAATTAAACGTCGTGATTCATCTTTAAATAAACGAGGTCCTGATACATTTATCTTATGACACAGTCGTTTGCGTTTGTTAAATGTCACAGAAGAGCCTGGCAGGTGCTCGAGAAAACCCAGGCTTGATCAAAACAGCTTTTTAATATTGTCTCTTCGCTCTATTTTTCAGTCCAAAGGTGTCTAGTGCAATGACTACACTCACCTGTTTTGCATTAGCATTCTTGACAGATCAACCTTCTATTCGTTTTTGATTGTAAAACATGTGCAAAAAAATATATGCGGTATATTTCCTGGTTGGCATTTTGTGGCGTTAATTTCTACTGACCTGGAACTGAACTTGAGAAATTGCATCGCTTGCTTGAAGGCACAGAGGTGGGCATAGGGTGACACTGGGTGCAATGAGTGACTGTTAGTGTAGCCTCTTTGTGAGTGAGCGAGCTGATGGAGAGATAGGTGCTTTGTACTGTCTTTTCACCTGATATATAAAGAATTCCACATGGTTTTGTTCCAACGTGTTACGTATAGACTCCTGGCATAACCTATATCGTCCTATTGTACCTATAGCCAGGTGAAAATTTGAGTATTGAAAGTCCATTTGTTTTTGTAATTCCACTTGCATGCAAACCTGATATTTGACAGACTCATTACATAGGGCATAGGGAGACATATCAGCCCTTTATTTGTTATAATGTTGATAATTATCTCACAGCTGCGAAATCCCCCAAACTCAGAAAATTAGAATATTTTGAAAATTGTCTGTAAGGCATAATCATCACAATAACAAACAAAGGCTTGACATTGTTCACTCTGCCTGTAAGGAATCAAATTTTAAGATTAATTAATGAAATAAATTAACCTTTTAACAATATTCTAACTTCCGTTTTTCACCGCTCACAATATAATTGTAAAAAATGAAACATTGTCATCATAATTTTACAATTGATCTACTCGTCTTGTTTGTCCCATTTGCAGATAGAAATACAATCAGTCTATTTCAAGCACAGTAGCATTTGATTTTCATTAAGAATGAATTGGCTTCCTCTTAACTTAAAGTTGGAGTACCTAAATTTGACTTTAATTGATTCTTTTACTAGCTGTCACATCCTCAGTGAAAATGTGAGGGCCAGCTCTCACTCAGCCAATCAGCTGCCTGTATGTAAAAGCTCATATCTCCTGATAAGATAAAGACAGCATGTTGTCAGACATCCCTAGTTCAAAGTGTAAAGAAAGTATTGTTGGATTTTGTTGAAATGTATCCTGATGACACTGTCTGTATGGATATGTTTATTAAGTCTTTAGGAAGAAATGCTCCCACACTGTCTCACTCTGTATGAAGTATAGAAGTACAGTGGTCCCTCACAGTAATGTGGTTCACCTTTTGTGGTTTCACTGTTCCACATTATTTTTGTGTGTGTGCTATTTTGCATGCTTTTTTTTACAGTGTGTTTCTAATACTGTATGTGTATTCTCCAACAATAAAAGCTAGATTAACATGACAGATACCTTTATTTGAATTAAGAAGAAACCTTTGGGGCTTGTGTGGGGGAACTACCACAGTCATCCTGTCGCCCTCAGTCTTGCTCCTTAGCCTGGTGTCCTTTGCAGCTGTAGTCTACAGTGTTCGCACAGCTTTTGACAGCTGCAGCAGTGCTCAGACAACGAACAGCTTTGATATCTCCGAGATCACACATCAGCAGTCAGCGTAAATTCAGGTGGCTAGATTATGTGTGATGAGGGATTTACAGCCTTTAAACATTTAGTTATTAATTGCCGTTTATTTTAGAACACTGGTTACACTAAAATTGTGCAAACCAAAACAGAATCATCATATTTTTGTGATTTTTAGATAAACCCCACCAATAAATGAGGGACCACTTTATAACGGTATATAACGGCGAAACATTGTTTTTGTAGATAAGACAATGTGCTTACAGTCGGATAAGGGCTTACAGTCGGATAATTGTTTTCACTCCTACGCACCTGTCATTGTCAGTTCACCGCAAAAACATGTGTTTATTAATTTGCAATTAAAAAAAATAAGAGAAAGGGACATAAGAAAGAGCTGGTCTGGGATGAAGTATGTGATGGAAAGGGAAGTCTCTCCTCAGACTGCTGCTTTCTCTGCGATCCGGCAAAGGAAATTTACTGTTTCTTGAAAGTCTTCTGAACTCTTACAGCTCTTGCAAATAGAATAGTTGCTTTTTAAATTTGTTCCAAAACATTTATGAGACGCTGCTGAATCCTGATAAAGAAAAAATAAATACATCCCAGACCAAATAAAAAGCCAACTACAGAGCAGTGGGCTTTTACGGGGGTACGGAAAACTTATTTCCCATGCAATGGCATCTTGGAATACAGGAGAATAAAAATCACCCAAAATACAGCTTTGAGTGCCTAAACGTGAATGGAAACCAACCGTAACATACGTAATAGCTAGCATTTTCAAACGTCAATTTAGCAGTCTTTTTAAAATGACACCTTTGCTATGAACTATAGACCTCTTCTTTCCTGGTAAATATGTCATAGATCAATTTGGCTGTCAACAAAGCTGTCCTGTTTTGGTCCTTGCATGTGACTCATTGTGTAGGATGACAAAGGGACACATATAAATAGCTAGAACTCTGACTCAGTTGAGAAATTTGGCTAAAAGTAAATTTAGTTTCTGCTTCATACGTTTGCGTAACACAGAGGCCTCTGCAGGCCCAGTGCAAGGATTCAAGATAATTATAATAATAATAATTTATTGTCATTGAAAGAAACAAAATTACGAAAGGGCAAAACTATGTGGAATGCAAACATGCTGATTCATAGTCCTCAGTAAAATCATATTTCAGAAAGCTTATAGAAATGTATACTATAGGCCCAATTTGTTTACAACAGTATCTGTGTGCTCAACATAGCATATTTCAATTCCTTCATTTATTTTTATATTAGGCGCTGATGTCTTTCTCTTTCTTTCAGATACTAGTTTGAAATCTGGTTTACTTAATAATACTTTCATGTTTATTTCCATAATCGAGCATCTAATTTGTTATATTATGATCATTTGGAGCAGATAACGTATCCTTATGTGCATTGGATTGTGTTCGGCTCCTAAATGAAATAACATTTGCTCTCTGCTGACGGCACGCAAAAATTTGTAGCCATTCGAGTAATGCACATTATAACTTGGCCTATTAACCTCTTAGAACCGTGCGTTGAGCAGTGCATATTTCATTCAAAACAAAGGGAAATCCATTTCATAATTAAAAAGACAGATAGGGGAGTATAGAGTATAGAATTAATTTATTATTGCAAATTTGATGAGAACACTGGATTGCATAGGTGTTGAAATCAATGTGAAGGCTGGTGAAACTGACAGGTTTGGTTCCCTCTCATACAGACACTTTCTTTGTACTTGATCACATAGGTCACAGTTCTGAATATTTCAATTAAGGCCGCTCTCTGATTGGTTCTCTCCCTCACTGAAATCTCCTCAAGGCCCGCAGTCCGGTACCACCGTTTCCAGGGCTACCTTTTCAGGCAGAAGCCTCTGATTTTGGACTCGTATCTGTCCTCAGTCAACAAACTGTCACCCAAAAGTATGAATTTGTCAGAAGCTTTTTGCGCTTTGTTTTGGATCGGCCCACTGTAGAAATGGAAGTGTCACCTCATGCCATTCACTGTCAGTCTGTGCTGGTTTTATTATGCAGCCAACAACACCCAAGTGGCATGCCAGCTCAAAAAGCACAATATCCAGTGTTGAATCTCTTCATCGGCGGCGTAAAAGGCCAAGCTCTACACTGGCTTTAATGCGAGAGGTGCTTTATCTTCGGGCCGAGATGTATGGCCCCATGGCTGGCTCTGTGCTCTGTTAGATTGTTCTGGTCTGTGGGAGAGTGTACAGCATCATTTAAAGAGAGATATAACACATTGATTTTGGGAAT